CAGGGGACATCAAATAGTGCCCAACTTGTCCAGGTTCCTTGGGGATAGGGTCAGCAGCTGAGGAGAATTGGCACTCCCTTCCCCTCCCGGGGTGTTGGGCACAACTTCCATGGAGCTCATGGGTGTGTTTGCGTCTGAACTCCACAGGGAGACCAGTGGCCACTCTAAGAGAGCTGACGGGCCCACAGGCCACACTGTGTCATGCGGGTTCCTGTTAAATGCTCTTAGCAAGGGCTTCTGAGTATAGACAGCCCAGGCCATCTCCCAGGGGAGGCATAGAGCCTCTGCACAGTGTGAGCCCTTGGAACTAGAAGTTTCTAGAAGTTTCTAGAAGTGCTCGGTTTGTTTTGCTTTGTGTTTTACCAACCACCCTGGTAGCTGAGTGTCACGAACCCTGCTTTGTAACTGAGAGAGTCACATATGCCTTGCCCCTCACGCTGAGGATTGGAGCTGGAGCTCTGCCTGTACAGCTGCCCTGGAGGATGAAAGGGCAGGGGGAGGGGAGTCAGTGCAGGAAGCAGAGCCCGACCGTCTGTTCCCTCACTCTCAGTGCTTGCTCCTGCGTGATCCCACAGGTGTCATACAGACTTGCACCCGCGCCTACTGGCAGCTGGGCCTCCCCCAATGCTGGAGCCCAAGCCTTTGAGGTCTTAGCCTCTGCAAGGCCTTTGTGTCCTTATCAACAATCCCGTGGAGGCACTTGGGGTCCTGCTTCCTCTGTTCTGCAAGATCAGCCCACCCAATTTAGGCCACCTTTCATCTTCCCAAACCAACATCCCTTTTAAAAGAAGGGAGCAAGTGTTTTCAACAGACGGGCCTTTGGTCTTGGGCAGATGAGGAGAGGGAGGCCAAGGCCCCAGTGTCCCTGAAATGCACCTTCTCTCAAGTCAGCTTCTTTCGGGCGTGACCCACAGGAGACTCAGAAGGTCCCTGAGCTCAGGTGGCTTCTGCCTGACCTGCATTTATTATTTTTCTCTTTCTCAACTTTTGCAACATAAATAATTTGGAAGTACATACAGAAGTACATACAGAAAAGCGCATGAGTCATAAGTGTGCGGCTCTGGTGAGTTTTCGTGGGATGAAGACATGGGTGACTGGCACCAGCCCCAGCAGCCCCCTCGGAGCTTGATATGCATGGGATCCTGATTAGATGTTCTTTCGCGCCTCGCTTTTTTAGCTGCACGTGATGTGGTGGGACTGGTCCTTGTGGGTGGTTGACTTTGTCAAGTTCTTTGCCGGGGGCGGGGGGCGGGGGGGCTCCGCCGGATGAGTACGCCACAGCTCACTTGGAGGGCAGCCGGCTGCTTCGCAATTGGGAGCCATCGTGAACAGCGCTGCTCTAAACGCTCCTGGATGTGCCTTTGGTGTGAGTGTGTAAGCATTTCTAGTGGGGCTACAGGCAGGGAGGAAGTCCTGGGCCTGCGTGCGCCGGGCTTTCCCAGGCACTATCGGACCGTCTCCCCATGTGGCTCTGCCTGGTCTTGCTCCTGCTGCCAGTGACTGGGAGTTTCCACTGGGTCACGGTCTCACCGGCACTTGGCCTTTTCTGTCCTTTCACTTGAGCCATTCTGGTGGGTATACGGTAGTGTCACAGTGTGGTTTTTATGTTCCTTCCCCGATGACGAGCGTAGTTGAGTGTCATTTCCTTTTTCTTACGTTCATCACCATTTTGGAGATCCTTTCTCGTGAAATGCTTCTTCGAGTCTCTCGCCCCTTTTTTAAAAATTGGGTCTCTTGACTTTTTTTTGATTTGTATGAGTTCTTTATATATTCTGGGTATAAGGCCCGTGCTGGATATCTACATCTACATCTGCACATATATACACAGACATACACAGACACACATTTATTCAACGGATCAGGGCCAGGTGCCCCCATGCACAAACGTCACAGTCACTGGGGCACAGCAGTGAGTAAAACAGACAAAGGCTCTGAACTCACAGAGCCCGAATTCTCTCCCTAGAGGAGACTAACAAAGAAGGAAGTGGAAAGGATGTGTGGACTACAGTAAAGCGAGGAGAAAAGTTCAGTGGGGGAGGAGGTGCGGGGGTGGAGGTTAAACACTGTAAATATGTCACCGAGGAGGTGACGTGTCTGTAAGGACCTACCGGAAGAGCACTGCAGGCAGAGGGAGGGCGGGCAGGCCTGTGGGGACTGGTACAGAGTGAGCGAGTGGTGAGTGGAAGGTGGCAGGTCTCAGATGGGGCAGGTCACCAGGTCACCGGGACTCTGGCTTGCATTTCATGGGGGTTCTGGGCAGGAGAGGACTGGACCTGACTCAGGATTTAACAAGGCCCTTCGCCTTGGGCCACTGTGCTGAGCAAGCGTGGGTGGAAGCAGGGACACTGATTAGGAACCTGTTGCAGTGGGCTCCTGTCCAGCTGTCCCATCTGTCCCAGTTGTCAGCACTTGTGAGCACGTCCAGGGTCAGCATCATCCCAGACTCAGGCTGCCCTGCTCTTTGCTCTGCCATCTCGGAGCATCCTCTCATGGTCCCAGGATTGACGTGCCGTTCTTGGCCTCATGTCCGGCCCACATCCACATCATCTGGGGCCTCTCTGCTGTGTGCTTTGCCTTTGCAGAAGCCTCCGGCGAAGGTCTACTGGCCACACCGCACCTGGCTCATTCTCCACGTTTAAAGCCAAATCTGGCAAGGGAACAAGATCCTTCTGTCAGTCCCCACAAGCCCTCCCTACAAGATCTTGCTCCCTGCATCCAGCCCCGCCCACAGCTTCAAGCAAGGGAACACTCCAGCAGGCATCAGCCCTGGCATGCCCACCTCCCTGCCTCTTTGGGCACCAGGAAGGATATAAATGCAGCCCAGGCACACACAGAATGCTGATGTCACACCTGTGAGCAAAGGAGAAAGTGCCCTCTGTGTCTGCAAGGACATTCCCATTGTGGAGACAATGGGCAGAGGGGCCCTCCTTCCTCCTGGGGAAGCATCTACTTTATTGAGGTCCTTGGGGATGCAGGTGAAGTCTGTGAATGAGCACCTAGGGGAAATGGCTCTGTGACTATAAGAAGGTGCCGTGGGGCTGGGTATCAGCTCAGCCACCTCCTCTGGGCTGTACCATCTAGAGCAGCAGAGGAGAAGGCCTGCTCTGGGTGCAGGTGGCAGCAGGGGTGTTAATTGCCCACATGGACATTCTGAGACAATACTGTGGCCAGCTTAGGGCCCAGATGTCAGGCAGGGTTGTGGGCTAGAGCTGAGGACCACAGGGTGCCTGGCAGGCTTCCCCAGGGCGAGAACCTAGGCCTCACCCTCTTGGTGCTCTGAAGCCATCTGAAGGGGTGAGGTGGCCAGACAGGCCCAGGACCTAAAAGCCCAGGCTGGTGCTTGTGCTACAAGTCCCCTGCAGAGGCCACCATGAACTCCGTATCCTCCAGCTGGCCTGAAATGGGATGCAGAAGCATCAGGGGGAAAGGACAGTGTGAAAGCTTGGAGGGCTGGTGCGCCAGTGGTCTGTGGCCCTGGCCTTCACTGCCTGGTGCTCCTCCCCACCCCCACTGTCCGCCCACAGGAGCCGCACCAGGCTGTAGTTAACGGTGCAGGTGCTAGAGAAGTGAGTGCTGGGCTCCAGTCCTAGCAGAGAAAATGAGGGGGCGGTGGGCAGAGCTCCAAGAGAAAGACACCTGTTTCCAAACTCTTGCACTCACCGAGTGGACCCTGCACAGCCCCTAATTAAACAAGACAGAAATAACTGTCCACCAACACTCAGCCTGGTGGCCAATCTTGGGACTGCTAAGAGAGCGGGCAAAGAAGAAGGGGGAGTGGGAGGAGAGATGGCTGTCTCACTGGGCAGAGGGTAGGCATCCAGGGACTGGTCTGGACACAGACGGGTCACCTCTGCCCATCCGTGCCCCCGGGCTTGCTCATGAGCCCTGTTGGGCTTGTGTCAGCCTCTCTCTGAGCATCCCCTCCTCCTCTCTATAATGTGCAAGCTGAGAATGTCCCTGTTCCTCTCTAGTGGTGACTCCCTCAGAGTCCCACCCCAGCTTGGTCTCCCAACTCAGCCTCTGGGCTCTCCAGTTCCAGATCTCCCAGGAAGGGTGCTCTCTGCTCAGTCCATCTTTTCCATACAAATTCTGAGAGCCTGGGTTGGGGTCCACGGCAGGCACACGGTGGAGGGGGTGACCTGTCACCTGACAGGATTTCTTCCGAACGCTGTGGCTTCTGGGGGTGGAATGACGCCTGACTCTGCCATGTGCCAGGCCCAACCCTAAACCGTGTTTCAGATTAGTCCTCCCACAAAAGCAGCTGCCGTGTCCCCTGTGTTCACGCAAGGAAATGGAAGAACTGAGTTACGTGTGCCGCTTGGGGCCAGAGTGAGCGCCCCGTCAGGGGAAGCACTCAAGCCAAGTGCTGGCCGAGCACCTGCCGTAGCTCTGTAGTGAATATCTACGATGAGGTGAGGTCGCAAAGGTCGCGGAGAGGCTCAAAGGGAGGAGATGGGGTTCCAGTGGGGCCTTCCGGGAGCGGGATCTCACCAACACTGCTCGCGTCCCGCACGGAGTCTGGACCCACAAGAGCACCGCTTCGCGCGGTGGCACACCGGCGCCACCCAGCACCGACGCGCTGGTGCGGCCGCCCGACTGATGCCTCGCTCCGCGCCCGAAACCCAGCGCCAGGCCCGCGCGAGCTGACCCCGCCGCGCCCCTCGCGGTGCCCCTACCCCCGTCCCTTCCCCACCACCCTCCCAGCGGCGACCCGCCAGGCCCTCTCCCCTTCCCCGCCCCGCCGCGCCGCGCCACGCCCCACTCCCGGCGCCCCCGCCCTCCCGGCCCCGCCCGCGGCCCAGGTTCCGCCCCATTTTTGGCAGGGCCAAGAGGTCCTCGGCCCCACCCAGCCCCTCCGCTTTCCCCGCCCCCGGCCCCGCCCCGCCCTGCCCCGCCCCGCCCCGCCCCGCCCCTCAGGAGGCTGCGAGCCGGAGGGCAGCGGGTATGGAGAAGCCCGCGGGCGGGGTCGGGGGGCGGGAGCTTCCCGGGCGCTCTAGGAGAGGAACGGCCGCACGCGGGGCGCTTGCAGCGCCAGGGCACGGCGCGGGGTGTAGGCAGCCAGGATGTTTCTGGAGCTCCAGGTAGGGATGCGGCACGTGGCAGGTGCGGGGCAGCGGGTCGCGAGGCGGCGACGTGGGTGAGCACGCAAGGCAACCCCTTGGTTGCAGCAAGACCGGGGGCAGGGGGTTCTTGCGCCGCCGAGAGCTCGGGAAGAGGCGCTGACCTTCGGCAACTAGTGAGACTATCCGGAACATCTGTGGCCTGGCTCGGCTCAGAAGGAGGCTGCCCTTGGGAACCACTCCCTCTGCGTGTCCGCAGTGGGGCACCTGCTGCCAGGTGGGCGGCGCCCAGGGCTCAGAACCCGTGGGTGGCTCAGGCTGCCGCTGCCCTCTTTCGGGTATGGCTTGCTGATGCCAATGATCATCTATGGCTGGGGGGGTTCCTGCAAACCTAGTGGGGGCCCCTGTGGTGTGAACAGGGCCAGAGAGGCAGGAGACAGCACCCCCGGCAGCAAGGCAAGGAGCGGGATGGCTGCCCTGGGTGGGACTGGCAGGCAGGCTTGTTAGAGCCAGGACGACCCTGAATCCTTTCCCAGGCTTGACGGGCACAGAACCACCTGTTTGCCCTGGAGGAGGTGGGGGAGAGGAGGAGGTCTGTGATGAAGTGGGTACGTGGGAGGTGTGTCTGTGTGTGTGCCATGTGTGGGCGAGAGTGAGAGTATGCGAAAATGCAGGCATGTTTATATATGGGGAGTGAGAGCGGGAGAGGAGGAGGGAGAGGTGTGTATGGGGGCAGGGTTGTGCCTGTGTGGGCACATGAATGCCTGCGTATTTAAGGAGACTGAGCTAGGGCGGGGGGGAGGGGCTTCAAGGAGCTTGGGCTCCAAGGTGAGGGGCAGCTTCCTTTCTGGATGGCTCAGGTAGGGAACTGAGACTTAATCCTGAGCATGAGGCAATGTGATGCATTTCTGTGGCTCTTTGTTAGAAGCCACGCTTTGAGATGGACTGGCGGTGTGATTCAGGTACAGGGTGCTGTCGCTGTCCCAAGCCCCCTCAGCGTGTAGCTGACCGCACAGACCTGGGAGCTCAGGCCCAGTGTGGGTGAGGGCACGGAAGAGGGCCTCAGCTGAGCTGGCTGGCCCTGGCTGTGCCAAAGATACAGGACTCATTTGTTGCTTCGTTAATTCACCTATTTGGTGAATTGATTAAACACTTGTTGTGTGCGGGTACTGTGAATTCAGCAGGGGACCAAACACACGACAGTCACTGTCCTCATAGAGCTCACCTTCTAGCGCTTGAGGATGGGGAGAAAGCCCCGTCAATAAATGCAATGTGAGTGGCACCTGGCTGGCTCGGTTAGAAGAGTGTGCAACTCTTGATCTCGGGGTCGTGGGTTCAAGCCCCGTGTTCAGGTGTAGAGATTTCTTAAAAAAAAAATAAACTTAGGAAAAACTTAAATACAATATGGAATGTTGCATGGTGGTTAAGTGATAAAGAGAAAAAGTGAAGCAAGAAAGAGGAATAGGATCTAGGGCGGGAACATCAGTCAGAATAGTTTAGGTTATCTGCAGAAACAAAAAAAAAAAAAAACCAAACCCACGGAATCCAGTGGCTTTTAACAACACAAGGCAAATTGGACTCTGCTCCAAGCCTTCTTCACTCAAGGCCTCAGGCTGATAGGTTCCGTGGCAGAGGGGGAGACGGTCTCCGGCACTAGTATTTTAATGCCCCAGCACAGAGCGCCACCTGTTACTTCTCCTTGCTGCTCTTGAGCCGGACGAGTCATGTGGCCTCACTCAGTCTCACTAGGACCAATAGTGACAAGCCTGCTTGGCCTGGCAGGTAGGGCCCAGTGTAGTGACCACCACTGAGGGGGTGCTGTTTGTACCTTGGGTAGGACAGTTAGGGGAGGTCTCTGCATGTGTGACGTGTGCATGAGGACCTGAGAGAGGGCAGGGAAGGAGGTAGATGGCAATGGGAGTGGAGGGGCACACCAGGACAACACCAGGCGGGGCTTTGAAGAGGCCTGCATGTCCAGAGGCCGACCGGAGGCTGGATGTCAGGAGCAGAGCAGGTGAGAGGGAGAGGACAGTGGGGCCAGCACAGTGGCCCAGGAGCTCAGACCAGGGAGGCAGGGGTGGGGGAGAGAAGGGCCGATGCGGACACTCTCTGAATTAGAGCAAGAGGCCTTGCTCGTGGCTGAGATGTGGTGCTGGAGACGGGGAGAGGCAGGCTGACTCCAGGAAGGAGGGCATTGGTCTCAGCGAGAGGTGGGAAGGGATGCAGGTGGAATGGTGGGGGGTGGGCAAGAGGCAGCAACAGTTTGACATCCCCTGGGGAGAGGTCACCTAGCAATGGGGTGGGCAGGCGAGAGAGAGAGCGCGCGTGGGCAGAGGTCTGGCGCAGAGTGCTAATTTGGAGCCCCAGCTTGCCCTACCCTGTGGGTCCCTTGCTGCCCCCTGGCCACACTGCTACCCCTGTGCCTGCTGGCTCAGGACAGCCTGGTCCTGGGCCCCTGCTGCCCCAGGCACCACACCACCGTCTTGCTGGGCCTGCCTGCTGGGCCGGGGACCCTTTGTGTGAACTTCACCAGGGGCAGCAGGACGGACTGAGGGAGCTGCAGAATCTTGTGTTGACCTGGCTGCTGTGGGCCAGGGGGCTGGCCAGGGTGCAAGAGCACTGTGTTCAGCACTGCTGGCAGGTCCTGTACCCACCAAGCACAGGACCACAGTGGTGCTGTCTTCAAGGGCTGGGTGGTACGGAGGGCTGCTGGGGGGAATGGGTAGGGTTTTGCTCAGGAATGACACAGCCTGTGTTGGAGCTGTATCTGTGGAAGCTGTCTGCACCCTCCGTACCTCGGGGCTTCTTGGACCTCACCCTCCGGGGCAGCCACTGGTGAGTGAACAGAGGAGGGCTGTGTCGGTCAGGAGAGCAGTTGTATCTCCTTGCTCTTCTCCTAAGCTGCTGGAAAACCTCTGGTCATCCTTGGAAGCCCATCTCAAAATCACCTCCTCCAGGAAGCCCTCCTTAACTTCTTTCTACAGAGTTAGTCCCCCCACCCTTGTGCTTCCTTGGTATCTGGCACGGACCCTGGTCCTGAGTTGCTCGTACTGCTCTGTGGTGTTACATCTGTCTGCCCTGGCAGATGCTGAGGTCCGTGGGTTCTTCCATTTCCAAGGGTGCGGCACAGGTCAGTAGGACTTCATGGATGTTTGTTGACTGACTAAGTGAGGGAAGGAAGGAACAAATATGAGGGCTGGAAATGGCCTGTGGAGACTGCTCAGTTCTGTCTCCTTGTTTTACACATGCGGAAACTGAGGCCCACGGGGTCTTGGCTTACCTGAGTTCAGCCCGGAGGTCAGGGGCAGAACTGGCTCCCAGACCAGGATGCCTCCACTGTGCCAGGTTCAGGGCCGGTTGGTCCCTGTGGGGAATCCCAGAGGCAGACAGGTTGAGGGGCCGTGGGGTGAGCAGTCGGGTGAGAGCGTGTGGCCGAAGGCACCGGAGTCTTGGGGTCTCAGGAGAAGGAGGGCAGCCAGGGGCCTTTACTGGGGTTCTTTGCCCTCCCCCCTCTGGAGTCCTGCAGCTTCTGGCCCTGTGGTCTCCTTGTCATAATAGGCAGGGTTTCTCTGACAAACCCACTGCCCTGCACCTCTGCCTCCGGTGGAATAACCCTGCCCTCGCCGTGCTGCTCACACCCGCCTGCCTGGCTGGGGCCAAGCCCACGGCATTTCCCAAATGTCAGTGTGGCTGCCGTACTAGCCGCCCCTGCCTGAGGTGGGGCTGGCAGGTATGAGTCAGAGGACCTGGGGGCCAGCTCATGGGTCTCCCTTAACCCTCAGGAGGTCGCTGTACCAGTGACACAAGTGGAAGCCGAGGCTCCAAGTAAGGCTGCAGCAGCACCAGGAGGCAGGAGGAGGTGACATTCATCCCAGAGCCTGGCCTTCCTGTGAGCAGCAGGGCTGTGAGCAACATCCTTAGAAGAGGGCTGGCAGGGTCCCAGAGGAGGGTGGAAACGGGCAGCGCCCAGCCCAGAGGGCACAATGGTGCAGTGTCATGGGTGTGTGGCCAGGAAAGCAGGCTGTGGGCCAGACGGCTGACTTGGGTGGACATTGTGTCCCTGGCCAAAGGCTGGGACACCTGCCGAGGTGGCAGGTCCCAGGGCACCTGGGCGTGCTCACACACACCTCTCCCTACTGCTGCCGCTGGAACGAATGTCACAGCACCTGCTCCACATAGACTGAGTGGGGATATCTTTGGGGTTAGGGACACTTGTACCAGGGAGAGGTAGATAGGTAAACTATTTTTTAAAAATGTATGTTAAGTAATTGGTAGTTGAACCCTCTTATTAGTTTGAGCAGATTTTCAGTGTGGCTTCCTAGAAAACCTAAGAGATTAATCATATTACCTGCACATAAGGAGCATTCTGCCTCTTCCTTTCTAATGTATCTTTTATTTATTTTCTTATCATATTGTGTTTTCTGAAAGGTCCAAAGCAACATTAAATAATCGCAGTTGTCCTTGGCTTGATCTTCATTTTAATGAGAAGGCCTCTAATGTTTTTACTAACTCTGAAATTGGCCCTAAATTTCAATAGATACTCTTCATCATGAACAGTATGCTCCTCTGCATTAATTGCCGAGAGTGTTCACCAAGAATGGATATTAAATTTCATTGAAAGCTTTCCTGTATCTAGCAAGATCATCAAATTCCTTTCCTCCTCGGACCTATTAATGTGTTGACTTACTAGCTTTTCTGAGCTAAATCATCCTCATGTTTCTGGAATAAATCCCACTGGGTCAGAGTCAATTGTGCTTTAAAATGCTTCTAGGTTCATTCGACTGATAAGTTGCTTAGGGTATTTTTCATCTATATTCATAAGTAAGAATTTATATGTACTTTCTATTACAGGACATATTTGTCACATTTATAAATCATGGTTGTGTCAGCTTCGTAAAATGAATAGGAAAGTCTTTCAATATGAATTGTGTAGTTGAAATACTTTAAATATCGTATAAAATTATTTTATTCTCCAAGGCTTGAAATAATTCATTTTAGAAACTGTCTCAGCTAGGAGTTGG